TTTCATGGTAATGACTTGTGGCATAGAATCCTAGCCACATCCAAGCCAGTCCGCTACAGGGGGGAGGCAGACCCAAGAGTTGAGAGAAGGAGGAAAATGGCAGCTCTGCTACCAAACTTTCATGATAGGATTCATTCTGCAAGATCAAAGTGCTGGCTTGCTTCTCTAATGTAGCAGAAAAACTACAGCCATTGCATCAGGAATTAGCCAGCTTCACATCCCTAGAGAAACAGTAAGTCACCAGCTAGCATTAGGTAATAATTAGCGGGTTTCTTTAGTGGTTAAGGGGTTTTTTTTCCCTTCAAGATTGAAGGGAAAAGACAAAAAAGCAGCAGGGCTTGCAAAAAGAGGGGCTGTCATAACAAGGAGACATAAAATAAATAATTTCAAATTCCCCTTTACCAGCAGCTGCAGGCACCTCCTGCCCAGAATTTCCCTTACTCAGAAGGACAGTGCCTTACCCCAATGCTTTTATCCTCTTGATAAGGTCTCATACCCAGCTGGAGTCTGCCTCTTTCCTTCCTTGCAATTAAGAGAGTGAAGGAAGACACCTGGGGACCTTTCCCTTGCTTAGGAAAAGGTTTTAACCCTGTCACTTTCCAACATGCAGTAGGGTTCTGCGCAGTTACAGCACACAGCACATATGGTTACAGTGCTGGGTAATGGCTCTCTGCAAATTGAAGGGAATTTAGAGAAAAGAAAAGAAAAAGAGAGTGGAGGGAACCCAGTCTCATCAGTGATTTAAAACAGGTCTGTACAAAGTCCAAAGAAATATACTGTATGGATCAATCCAGTAGCAAGATAGCAAGACACAGTTTAAGGCCTTTCCTGCATCACATTGGCTAGGTTACATCCCCACTATCCTCTCTGCCCTCTAGTTCACACTGTTTCCCCTCCCTGCTCCACCCACACACAGCTCACAGCAAATATAGTACTCAACCCTGCCTAGAGAATGCTGGACATGTGTCATTAGTGGGGGGAAAACAGCAGAAGCATGAGATCTGTGGATGTCTTAGGGGATTCTGCCCTCAGAGCTGGCTGAGGACAAACCAGGCTCCATGGTTCAGCTAGCAACTGGTCATGGCTTAGAGGAACTAACATAACTCCTGGTATTTAGAGAATGTAAAATACTTTTAAGATAAAAATCAAGCTAACAAATCCCCCGAGCTGCAAGTAAGAACCCTTAAAACCATGAGAAGGACAAAAAGATGCAAATGACCACTTAAGTCCTTTCAAGCCAGAGGTGGGGAGCAGGGAAGAAATT